TGAAAAAAGATCAAACATTAAAAACTTCCCTAAACAGGGCTGCCTTCAGATGTCTTCTTAAAGCCGGATAGTTGTTTATTTCCTTGACATCTGATGGGAAGGCATTCCACAAGGAGGGCGCCACTACCGAGAAGGCCCTCAGCATGGTTCCCTGTAACCTCGCTTCTTGCAGGGAGGGAACCGCCAGAAGGCCCTTAGAGCTGGACCTCAGTGTCTGGGAAGAAAAGGTCAGCACCCACAATTTGAATTGTCCCTCAAGGTCCCTTCCAACTTTACAATAGAATGATCTTTGCAGTGAAATAAAAAAAGTTAATGTCACACACACACACACACACACACACACACGTGTGTTTGTGTGTGTGTGTGTGTGTGTGTGTGTGTGTGTGTGTGTGTATATATATATACTGTATATATAATGTTCATAAATGTACCAAGCAAACACGTACATAAATATATAAACCACATGTCTGAAGCAGCACAGGAAAACAGCCCTGAAACCAATTTGTCTCTCAAACTGACCAAATGATTTCTCTGCAAGGTCGAGGAAAATGGAAACGCCTCCCCATTGTCTTTTCCTTCACAAATCCTGTCTTAAGGGGATGTCTGTGTATGAATAAGGTGAGCCTGTGACCTGGCTCAGGAACTAAGTATTTATCATTACAAAAGACTGGCCAGGCTCCCCAGGGTATCCAGTCAAGTGACCATTAACAGGTAACCTGCCAGACAGGAGATAAACAATGCATTCAGATTTCTGTTGTAGACCGCCCTTTCTGTGATGTAGGTATGATGTGTCTGGGGGTGGTCTTGGACTCCAGGGCGGGCAATTTAAAATGTCTATATAAGGGCGGGCACACCTGGGTTCTGGGTCCTCCTCCTTTCCTGCGGGTGAAGGGGGAACCCTGTTGCAACAGTTTAATAAAAATTAGGCTTACTAGCTGCTTTGCTTCTCAATATTCTCTGGTTGGCCTCTGTTATTTTCTCTGACCGATGGAGAACCAGCAAAGGACTCTATAAGGGCTCTTGTGTCCCCCATAAGGGAATAAGGGCAGATTTCCGTTTATTACAGCAGTTATTCTTGCTGCTTCAAGCATGTCGTTCTCACCCTCTGCTAAGCCTTCTTTTATAACTGTCCTTTTGGTAGTCCCAGCTCTTCCTCCGGTGTCTAATGACAGAAGTATGTGCATTTAAATCCACCAAAGAAACAGAGGATTAAGCTTTGTGAAAGAGCATTTGCGCATTTGTGGACCAACCTTCTATTTGCATTGCTTGGTCTGACAGACCGCCCCACCTGCAAGAGCTCAGGTGAGATCAGTGAACATTTGTGGGTGCAGAAAAGCTTCCTTGTTAGGAAGTTCATTTATCGGGACAGAGCAACTTTTGCAGCTGTTGTTAAAGTTCTCGGTGCAAAACAACAAAGCAAGGGACCAGGGCCGGATTGAGGTTTGGTGCGGCCCTCAGCTCCTGAAGGTAATGGGGCCCTTTCTATGTCCAGCTGTCCTTTGTCAACAACAAATTGCCGCTGTTTTTTTGTGTTGAATATATGCTATATGGTCATTTATGGACCTAATAGGTATCTAAAGCCATTTGTACATAATAAAATACGTATTTTATCAAAGTAATTGTTGAACTGAAATACAATTAAGAAGAAGTATATTAATAGTGAAATACAATTAAGAAGTAGTATATTAATAGTGAAATAATTATTAAACTCTAACTTAAAATGATTGGGGGCCCATGACTTACATCATAGGAGCCTACACAACACAAAACACCGTTGGTATGTAGGTTTTATTTTATCTGGTTTTTATCTTTTATTTTGGAGATGTGCATCCAGTTTTTTCCCCTTTAATTTTTGGGGGGCCTTAGGCGCCAGGCAAAAATGTTCCTTTTTAACCAGGCCTTTGGTTGACGCCCTTTTCAAAATGTGGGGGTTTTTTTGGGGGGGGGCTTTATTGGGTTGTTGTTTTTGATTCTATATTTTGTGGTTTTATATTTTGATTTTGTTCTGTGAACTGCCTTGAGACCTCCAGGTATAGGGCGGTATATAAATCCAACTATTATTATTATTATTATTATTATTATTATTGATAATTTCTGCAGCATCTTGCACTAACTGCAGTTTCCACATCAAATACAATGGAAGCCCCACTAAGAGCACATTGGAAGTGCAGGGTGTGTTTCTGGACTCACCCAAACAACCAATTTATTGAGCATTTATCCTGCTCTGCTTGCACAAAACTTACATGGAGGTGAGACTACGCCTTTGCTGCGCATCTCTTTGCGGTTATGGGCAGGTTATACAACACTGAGCATTCATCCTGATTTCCTTGTGCTGTGTTTATACATCTTCCCACATATGATGTTATCTGTTCCTCCCACGCTTCTCAGGGCATTTCAGTCACTTTCCCAGCTGCAGAAAAGTCCTTTGAAAAAGCGGATTTGTTGCGCTAAGCTGACACAACCCACTTCAGTGACGCAAAACTAATTTTCCAGTTGTGCGCTTGAATCATTCCAGCAAAAGCACCTTTTGCTCATTCCCAGAAACCCCTGTTGGGAGGTTCATGCAGGAACTCAATAATCCTTGGCTCTTCACGTTTAGGCTGTGTCTACATGAGTACAGTGGTACCTCAGGTTACATACGCTTCAGGTTACGGACTCCGCTAACCCAGAAATAGTGCTTCAGGTTAAGAACTTTGCTTCAGGTTGAGAACAGAAATCATTCTCCGGCGGCACGGCAGCAGCAGGAGGCCCCATTAGCTAAAGTGGTGCTTCAGGTTAAGAACAGTTTCAGGTTAAGAACGGACCTCTGGAACAAATTAAGTACTTAACCCGAGGTACCACTGTAGCTTCAAATGCAGCGAGGTCATTTTCTCCTGCCGCATCTCACGTTGCCTTTGCGCATTCCTGTACATGCCAGGGAGGGAGCTCAGAGGTCTCTGGCATTCAAACTGCGGCTGCGAGTTTCTCCCTCTAGTGGTTATTGGGCTGCAAAGCAGCTTAGGCAGCGTGTTCTCCAAGTTATCATCGCAATCAAATTAATGCAGCACCATGGGGCTTTGCGGAGGCAGTCTGAGCCACACTTTCTACTCCATTTAGACCATGGGTAGGCAAACTAAGGCCCGGGGGCCAATTACGGCCCAATCGCCTTCTAAATCCAGCCCACGGACAGTCCGGGAATTAGCATGTTTTAGAAGGCGCTGTGGGTAAAAGCCTCAGCGCCTAGGGCTTGCCGATTGAAAGGTCGGCGGTTCGAATCCCCGCGGTGGGGTGCGCTCCCGTTGTTCAGTCCCAGCGCCTGCCAACCTAGCAGTTCGAAAGCACCCCCGGGTGCAAGTAGATAAATAGGGACTGCTTACTAGCGGGAAGGTAAACGGCGTTTCCGTGTGCGGCTCTGGCTCGCCAGAGCAGCGATGTCACGCTGGCCACGTGACCCGGAAGTGTCTCCGGACAGCGCTGGCCTCCGGCCTCTTGAGTGAGATGGGCGTACAACCCTAGAGTCTGTCAAGACTGGCCCGTACGGGCAGGGGTACCTTTACCTTTACATGAGTAGAATGTGTGCGTTTATTTAGAATGCATCTCTAGGTTATTTGTGGGGCATAGGAATTTGTTCAATCCCCCCCCCCCCAATATAGTCCGGCCCCCCACATGGTCTGTGGGACGGTGGACCGGCCCTCTGCTGAAAAAGTTTGCTGACCCCTGAACTAAGGCATGGGTAGGCAAACTAAGACCCAGGGGCTGGATCTGGCCCAATCACCTTCTAAATCCAGCCCACGGAGAGTCCGGGAATCAGTGTGTTTTTGCATGAGTAGAATGTGTGCTTTTATTTAAAATGCAATGACAGTCCTCTCTCCACCTATGTTTCCCCAGCAACCAGGACTCGGAGGCCTACGGTCGCCATCTGCGGAGGCAAAGAATAAAAATCACAGCTAGTAGGCACTTGTTAAAAGGTAAAGGTACCCCTGCCTGTACGGGCCAGTCTTGACAGACTCTAGGGTTGTGCGCTCATCTCACTCTATAGGCCGGGAGCCAGCGCTGTCCGCAGACACTTCCGGGGCACGTGGCCAGCGTGACAAGCTGCATCTGGCGAGCCAGAGCCGCACACAGAAACGCCGTTTACCTTCCCGCTGGTAAGCGGTCCCTATTTATCTACTTGCACTTTTAAGGGTGCTTTCGAACTGCTAGGTGGGCAGAAGCTGGGACCGAAAGACGGGAGCTCACCCCGCCGCGGGGATTCGAACCGCCGAACATATGATCGGCAAGTCCTAGGCACTGTGGTTTTACCCACAGTGCCACCTGCGTCCCAGGCACTTGTTATTTATTTTAATTGGTGTACCCCACTTCTCACCACTTGAGTCTCAAAGCAGTCTCCTTTCCATCTATTGCCACAAATGGTCTATTTGCCTTCTAAAACCACCCAAGCTATCCTATGGTTGCGAATTCCGTACAGTGGCGAAGCTAGCTTCACCGGCGCCCGGAGCGGCAGCCATGCCGTGCACCTGGTGTGTGGGGGGGGAGCGTCTCCACCCCCATCGTTCTGCCCGGACACTGAGGTCCAGCTCCAAGGGCCTTCCGGCAGTTCCCTCACTACAAGAAGCCAAGTTACAAGAATCAGGCAGAGGGCCTTCTCGGTAGTGGCACCCGCCCTGTGGAACGCCCTCCCACCAGATGTCAAAGAGCAAAACAAGTTTCAGACTTTTAGAAGACATCTGAAGGCAGCTTTTAATGTTTGGTGCATTACTGTATTTTAATATTTTGTTGGGAGCCGCCCAGAGTATGTAACCTGAAGTACCACTGTACAAGGTTGGACTCCACTCCAGATTCGTTCCAATCCTCTTTTAAAGCCACCCACGCCGGGGGCCCCATCACCGCATCCTGTGGGAGGGAGTTCCATAGTTTAACTCCACAAACCTGATGAGAACCAAAAAGGCGCATTCTGCAAATGGGTGAAACATGGTCAAATTTGCCCCGGAAACCCCCCAAAATAGGAACAAAGAAGACAATCACGGTAGCATCAGCCCATATTTATTTAGCTGCATTTACGTTACATGTAAAATTTACCACTGTTCGTTGAAGGTACCACAGTAGGAGGGGGACTGGCAAGGAACATTTTTTAAAATGGAATACTTTTTTGTGGGGAGATCTCAGGTCATTTGCAAGTCAATTGAAGCTATGCTTGGGAGAACATGCCTGAAGTTGTATTTCTAACTCAGCTGTACCAAACTGTGTTCCCTAGCCTTGCTCCAAGCTCCCATCAGCCCCCAGCCAACATGGCGGCTGGTCAGGAGTAATGGGGAGTTATAGCGCAATATCTGCAGGGCAACATTAGCCATCCTTGGTGTAACTTGATGCCTAACTTTCACCTGCCCACATAACCTATGCAGGTGAGACTGGTACAATTGCAATTTCACCCCTTTCCTCCCAAACCTGGCTCCCTCTGTGGTCAGTACGGAATTGATTAAATTGTGCAGCAACTGGTACCCAATTTTTATCATGTTCCTCTCTGTTTTCCTCCCTCTGCCGGGCTGCAAGCTCTCGCTTCAAGACTGCAAACCGCCTCGAACGGAAAAAAGCAACGTATCAGTGCAAAAGAAAATAAGTTAAATAAATAAGACTTGAAGACAGTGCTGATTCCCTCCTGTGCAAAATGGTTGATCTTTCTATTCCACTGGATTAACTTTTTTAAAAAAACAACCCCTTTCGAAAACCACCAATCAATCTTCAGCACCGAATAATTAAATGCAGTAACAATAAAGAACATACAACAATTTTTCCTCAAAGCTATTTTAAACCACGCAGGTTTCCTCCTGGTTCACCAGAAGTACGGGGGAAAAAATCTCTCTGGAACAGAAGAACCATGTAGAATGAAATAAGTCTGTGCCTGTTTTGTATATTTGGTGCTGTGAACATCAAACCCTGATTGTCTCTGCTGTATTAAACGGGTGCTAGCTCATGCAAGGCTGTGGGAATCGGATGTGCTACACGGAATCCCCTTTCAGCTAAGCCAGGCTTCCTCAACCTTGGCCCTCCAGATGTTCTGAGACTACAATTCCCATCATCCCTGACCAGTGGTCCTGCTGGCTAGGGATCATGGGAGTTGTAGTCCCAAAAACATCTGGAGGGCCGAGTTTGAGGAAGCCTGAGCTAAGTCCTAATACTGGAATGTCCCCCACTTCAAGGAAAATCAGCTGGCCACGGGTGGGGCCTGCATGGAACAACTCTTTCTCCTAGGAGGCCTACAAGACCTTCCAGCAGAAAGAGTTGAAGGTCTTGTGTGGTCCACCTGGACTCTGATGGATGTACACGTTTCCATTAAACACTGGAGGGATGTGGAACCTGTGGCCTTCCAGATCTTGTTTGGAGCTCCAACTCCCATCCGCCCCAGCCAAAGTGGCTGATGGCCTGGGATGATGGGAGATGTAGTCCCAGGAACATCTGGAGGACCACAGGTCCCCCACCTCCGATTTCAAGCATTTGCATGAAGCCAGCCGTGTGCGAATGAGCAATGGCAGCAGATTCGTCACAGTAGATCGGGATAGCCAAAATGATCCTCTGCAGATGTTGTGGACTCCAACCCTCCTCAGCCTGGCCAACGAGGCGTGCTTTAGTTCAACAACATCTGGAGAGCAACGTCACTGGCTCCAGTTTGTAAGCAGACGACAACCCAGGCTTCCCCGCAAGACTTAGGTTGCCCGTTTATACTTTGGTTTCTGCAGAGCCCTGGATCTGTGGTGATCTCAAATCAAAAAGTCAACTGGGTTCCCCTTTCATAGACCCAAAACACATCTCTCCTAAGTTTTCTGGGCTGTGATGGTCACCACAGAAATATCAGGGTCGGCTTTCGTAAACAAGAACAGGTTAAGAACAGGGGGACGGCATTCCTGTTCTCGAGTAATGCCCAGTGGATGAGGACAGGATCGCGGCTAAATCCAGTGCTATACTACGGTTGGGTTGGCGTGACCTTATTTCCCTGTGTATGGCTGCCGACAGGGTGGAACCATAAGACTGCTCCACGTGGTCCCAATCCTTTGGGGCTGACTATCAAATTGGCTGGCTTTGTTGTTGCTGCGGTGCAAGAACTTTATATTTCTCACGGTAGCTGAAAAGGGGAGTCTTAATAATCCTCAGCGATTCCGAAGGAAGGATCCTGCACTGAGGTCATAACGGGTTTGAGGTATCCCATTACTCTTCCTTGTTGTTTTCCTGCAAATCGCTCTCTGCCCGTAACTTTTGGCTGTTGACTTCATTGTATTTCAACCAGTGTAGTATTTCCTCAGGAAGTTCAGGAGACTCCACCTATAAGAGCAGAGAAAGAAGGGGATATTATGCCATATACCGGTATATAACATCTTCATGATCTCCCTAAGGTTATAGCGTGCTGTGAATTTACAGTGGTGCCTCGCAAGACGAAATTAATCCGTTCCGCGAGTCTCTTCGTCTAGCGGTTTTTTCGTCTTGCGAAGCAATCCTATTAGCGGCTTAGCGCTATTAGCGGCTTAGCAGCTATTAAAGGCTTAGCGGCTAAAAGGCTATTAGCAGCTTAGCGGCTTAGAAAAAGGGGGGGGGAAGCGGAAAAAAATCGCAACACTCGCAAGACCTTTTTTGTCTTGCGAAGCAAGCCCATAGGGAAATTTGTCTTGCGAAGCAGCTCAAAACGGAAAACCCTTTCGTCTAGCGGGTTTTCCGTCTTGCGAGGCATTCGTCTTGCGGGGCACCACTGTACCTCCTTGAAACTAGCGAAAATGCATAAAAGAGGGCCACCGATTTGTTGGAGATGTAAAATAGATGTGGAGTCATACTACCAGACATGGTGGACTTGTGCAATCATTAGGGAATTCTGGGATAATATCTATAATGAATTTAAGAAATTATTCAGAATTACCTTTAACCCCTCCCCCCCCAATATCTTTCTTTTAGGCATTTTACCATTAGAAATTAAAAAAGACATAAGACCGCTGTTCATGTATGCCACCACAGCAGCAAGAATTCTTATGGCGAGGAAGCGGGAAAACGAAACAGTACGACAATTACGGATTGGCAGATACTCATGTTAGAATATTTACAACTAGCAAAACTGACGGGAAGAGTTAGAGGAGTATTGAACCAGAAAATATTTGGAGAATGGAGAATATTTAAGGATTATGTAAGATCATATTGTGCCAACCACACCATATTAGCAGAACTTGAGTGATACTTGTAAACACAACCAATACCGTTTGTGGAATAGACGGGAACAATATTAAAGAATATAAAACTGTGTGGAAAAAACGAAAGTATAAACAGTACAATGAGAATTCATAGCTGTCAACTTTTCCCTTTTCTTGCGAGGAATCCTATTCGGAATAAGGGGATTTCCCTTAAAAAAAGGGAAACGTTGACAGCCATGCAAATGATTGGAAGACTCGTTTTGTCAGAAGTCTTTTTTATTTAAGTGTTTAATTAAGTATTAATTAGGAAGATTAAGGGGTTTTTTATGTACGTAAATTTGCTTTTTCTATTCTTTTCTCTTAATTCTTTTTTCTTTCATTTTCTTTTTGTAGTATGAGATTGTAAATTCTTTGTATAAGTGTGTAATTTAAATTAATAAAGATTATTATTAAAAAAAAAAGAGCAGAGAAAGAAGATGAACTAGGCCTAGGGGGCAAGGGGTGGCGGAATCCAATATGAATCCCAGGAACAAAAGCTGGTTTTCATGTGGGGAAAAAAAGAAAAAGCAATCCAGTTCTCAAAATCTGATTTCTAAATGTGAAAAAAGAGTAATGATGCTAACCACCAGGTTGGGTGCCGTTGTGGGACGGGGACATAGATTTCCCCTGGATCTGGCTGTTGTGCTGGAGGCGAGGGGTTTCCTCAGGTTTGGGGAAACCCTTTACAGCTTCCCCAGGTCCAGGAAATGGATCACAGCTTGCCTGTCTATTTAATAATAATAATAATAATAATAATTTTTATTTATACCCCGCTTTCCCCGGCCAGAGCCGGGCTCAGGGCGGCTAACACCAGTAAAAAACACAGTAGGGGAAAAAAACCCCAATTTAAAATACAGGCTAAAATGCAATTTAAAATACAGCCTCATTTTAAAAGTAGCCGATAAATCAAGACCATAAGGGGAGGGAAACGTAAGGATCAGACTGAGTCCAAACCAAAGGCCAGGTGGAACAGCTCTATCTTGCAGGCCCTGCGGAAAGATGTCAAGTCCAGCAGGGCGCTAGTCTTTCGTGACAGAGCGTTCCATCAAGTCGGGGCCAGTGCTGAAAAGGGCCTGGCCCTAGTTGAGACCTTGTGACCTGGGACCTCCAAAATGTTATTATTTGTGGACCTAAAGGTCCTCCGCGGAGCATACCAGGATTTGGTCAATGTTGTCGGACGTAGTTATAAATACAGATACTTAAAATAATGCAGATTTGGAACTGTATTTCTCTGTTCGCTTAAAGGAGGCAGATTTCCAGGGGGGCGCCGAGTAATTTTTTTCTGGAAACGTGGCAAGAGGCCATATAAGTTTGGGAACCTCTCTCTAACCACTGCACCACCGCAGCCACTCACTAATTTTTGCAACTCACTGCCGTTCCGCTCAAGATTTCCTCCCTTATATACCTGCCAGCTAAGAGATCACTTCAAGAAACTGACAAGGCAGGCTTGAGTCCACCAACATTTTAAGTATGGAAGTGAGAGCTGGACCATAAAGAAGGCTGATCGCCGAAGAATGGATGCTTTTGAATTCTGGTGCTGGAGGAGACTCTTGAGAGTCCCATGGACTGCAAGAAGATCCAACCTCTCCATTCTGAAGGAAATCAGCCCTGAGTGCTCACTGGAAGGACGGATCCTGAAGCTGAGGCTCCAGTACTTTGGCCACCTCATGAGAAGAGAAGACTCCCTGGAAAAGACCCTGATGTTGGGAAAGATGGAGGGCACAAGGAGAAAGGGACGACAGAGGATGAGATGGTTGGACAGTGTTCTCGAAGCTACCAGCATGAGTTTGACCAAACTGCGGGAGGCAGTGGAAGACAGAAGTGCCTGGCGTGCTCTGGTCCAGGGGGTCACGAAGTGTCGGACAGGACTAAACAACAAGAAACCTGGTAACAGGGTGGATAGAAATCAATGATTTAAAAAATAATAATTAATTTTTAAATTATTATTATTTAAATCAGATTTTCCCCTTCATGGATCACTGCCTTGCCGTGGCGAAGGGGCTTGAAGAACTCAGAGAAGCTATGAACTACGCCGAGCAGGGCACACAAGATGAACAGGTCATAGTGGAGAGTTTGGACCAAACGTGATCCACCTGGAGGAGGAACCGGCAAGCCACTTCAGTATCCTTGCCAAGAAAACTCCATGGACAAAGACAACAGGCATATAAAAGTTATGACGCTGGAAGATGAGCCCCTCAGGTCGGAAGGCGTCCAACATGCTACTGGGGAAGAGCGGAGGGCAAGTACAAGTAGATCCAGAGCTGATGAAGCAGCTGGGCCAAAGCCGAAAGGACGCTCAGTTGCGGATATGCCTGGAAGCGAAAGGAAGTCCAATGCTGTAAAGAAAAATATTGCATAGGAACCTGGAATGTAAGAACCATGAACCTGGGTAAGTTGGAGGTGGTCAAAAATGAGATGGCAAGAATAAATATTGACATCCTGGGCATCAGTGAACTAAAATGGACGGGAATGGGCGAATTCAGTTCGGATGACCATCACATCTACTACTGTGGGCAAGAAACCCGTAAAAGAAATGGAGTGGCCCTCATAGTCAACAAAAGAGTGGCGAAAGCTGTACTGGGATGCAATCTCAAAAATGATAGAATGATCTCGATACGAATCCAAGGCAGACCTTTTAACATCACAGTAATCCAAGTTTATGCACCAACTACTGGTGCTGAAGAAACTGAAATTGACCAATTCTATGAAGACTTACAACACCTTATAGAAGTGACACCAAAGAAGGATGTTCTTCTCATTATAGGGGATTGGAATGCTAAAGTAGGGAGGCAAGAGATAAAAGGAACAACTGGCAAGTTTGGCCTTGGAGTTCAAAACGAAGCAGGGCAAAGGCTAATAGAGTTCTGCCAAGAGAACAAGCTGGTCATCACAAACACTCTTTTCCAACAACACAAGAGACGACTCTACACATGGACATCACCAGATGGGCAGCATCGAAATCAGATTGATTATATTCTCTGCAGCCAAAGATGGAGAAGCTCTATACAGTCAGCAAAAACAAGACCTGGAGCTGACTGTGGCTCAGATCATCAGCTTCTTATAGCAAAATTCAAGCTTAAACTGAAGAAAGTAGGAAAAACCACTGGGCCGGTAAGATACAATCTAAGTCAAATCCCTTATGAATACACAGTGGAAGTGAGGAACGGGTTTAAGGATTTAGATTTGGTGGACAGAGTGCCTGAAGAACTATGGATGGAGGCTCGTAACATTGTACAGGAGGCAGCAACGAAAACCATCCCAATGAAAAGGAAATGCAAGAAAGCAAAGTGGCTGTCCAACGAGGCCTTACAAATAGCGGAGGAGAGAAGGCAAGCAAAATGCGAGGGAGATAGTGAAAGATACAGGAAATTGAATGCAGATTTCCAAAGAATAGCAAGGAGAGACAAGAAGGCCTTCTTAAACGAGCAATGCAAACAAATAGAGGAAAACAACAGAATGGGAAGAACCAGAGATCTGTTCAAGAAAATTGGAGATATGAAAAGAACATTTCATACAAAGATTACCATAATAAAGGACAAAAGTGGTAAGGACCTAACAGAAGCAGAAGACATCAAGAAGAGGTGGCAAGAATACACAGAAGAATTATACCAGAAAGATATGGATGTCTCGTACACCCCAGGTAGTGTGGTTGCTGACCTTGAGCCAGACATCCTGGAGAGTGAAGTCAAATGGGCCTTAGAAAGCACTGCAAATAACAAGGCCAGTGGAAGTGATGGTATTCCAGCTGAACTATTTAAAATTTTAAAAGATGATGCTGTTAAGGTGCTACACTCAATATGCCAGCAAATTTGGAAAACTCAGCAGTGGCCAGAAGATTGGAGAAGATCAGTCTACATCCCAATCCCAAAGAAGGGCAGTGCCAAAGAATGCTCCAACTACCGCACAATTGCACTCATCTCACACGCTAGCAAGGTTATGCTTAAAATTCTACAAGGAAGGCTCAAGCAGTATGTGGATCGAGAACTCCCGGAAGTGCAAGCTGGATTTAGAAGAGGCAGAGGAACCAGAGACCAAATTGCAAACATGCGCTGGATTATGGAGAAAGCTAGAGAGTTCCAGAAAGACATCTACTTCTGCTTCATTGACTAT